GAATGGGGTGAACCTGCATTTCCCACATGAAAAGCTCTCCAAGACCACTGCTAAGGTTTTTTAAAAAGTAGTTTGCAACACTAATGTCTAATTTGAGCCATTGAACTATGCACATCGATAAGCTGTGTGGTGAGTCTGCAACAGAAGGTTAACGAAGGAAGACTTTGGTTTGTATTGTTTGATTTTCTTCCAACAGGAATGTATTCTAGAAAGAAGGTGGATATTTGTACACTAATGTTCACAGCAGCGTTAGTCACAATAGCTAAAAGATGGAAACAACCCAAATGTCCATCAACAGATGAATGGATAAACACAATGGGGTATACACAATGGAAAATTATTCAGCCACAAATGGAATAAAGTACTGATTCATGCTACAACATGGATGAATCACAAAAATATTATGCTAATGAAGAAAGCCAGACACAAAAGGAAAAACACTGTATTGTCCCACCAAAGTATCTAGAGGAGCCAGGGTCATAGAGATGGAAGGTAGAGGTGTGATCCTCAGGAGCTGGCCGGGTTGGGGAAGGTTGGGGGTTTGGTGCTCACTGGTACAGCATGTAGGTCTGGGATGATAACAAAGTTCCAGAGGTGAGTGGTGACTGTACAGCAATGTCACTTAATGCTACAGAACCAGACACTCAACATGTTTAAAAAGCAGATTTTTTATATGAATGAACCTTACCATAACCAAAAAAAGGCTAAGTAAAAATAAGACAAATAATCATCAAATAATAACAAAGTGCCCTGAGCTGATGCCAAAGGATGTGATGCACACATCACCAAAATGTGCATGTATAAGTAGGCTTACTATACAGTGTATGATAAGTAAAGGTCAGAAGCAAAGACAGAAATGCACTGGAGAGGAGGCAGAAGCTGTGATAGAAGAGACCCAGAATCCCCAAATCCTATGAGTGGAGGCTCCTGAGCTATGGGCTGAGAACAAACTAACTGCAGACTTGACCCCAGCCTGTGAATGGCGATGAGCTGGGGGCTGAGAACAAACTAACTGCAGACTTGACCCCAGCCTGTGAATGGCGATGAGCTGGGGGCTGAGAACAAACTAACTGCAGACTTGACCCCAGCCTGTGAATGGCGATGAGCTGGGGGCTGAGAACAAACTAACTGCAGACTTGACCCCAGCCTGTGAATGGAGAGAACCTAAAGTGGAGCCCCCTTTCCACCTTGGAGAGATGTTCCATCTATAAAGGAACACATATATACACAAACACATATACACATATATACACACAAACACATACATGTACACAAGTATACACATATGCATTACAAATACACACATACATAGACATAAACATACAAACACACATGCACACAATTACTCATGAATATACACATACAGAACACAAATGCACATATACACATGTGCACACATACACAAACACACATGCACACATAAATGCACACAGATATAAACACATACACTTATACTCACCAGCACACACATAAACCACACACACACACACACACACACACACACACAACACCCCATTCCTTTGGGGCAGCAGCAAAGAAACCATTCACAGACAGTAAAAAAGAAAAAAGTCACATGTGTAATTAACACCCTAAGCCTGTGCCACATGTGGGTGTAGGGTCTAAATTTATACTACCCATGGAGAATAGAAACCTTCAAGTGTAAGTTGAGTATAAAAAACACTCAAGATGAGTGAAACACGCAAGTCCAGCAGACAGCATCACAAGACCAGTCTCTGTGAAGACATGGGCATGATCTCAGGCATGCAGAACCCCACCAAAAAGAAAATGGGGTGACCAAGATGAGTTCATAATAAAAAATTATGAGCAAAGCCCAAGAGCACACAGGCGCACACTCCCCAGTTGGCACCTTTGACAGTTGGACACCACAACGGCCAGGAAGTACGTATGGCATGATAGGAATAACGATGGAGAGAAAAACAGAACAGAACAGAACAGAACTCAAAGGTCAGGGGAAGGCCAACTCCATTTGGAACTGGAGGAGCATGAGATGTCTGGGTCATCCAGGCAGGATGTGACCAAGAAATAGGAGTCTGGAGCCCCTTAAAGGTCTTGGCCGGAAGTAGATGGTATCAGTTGAGGGAAGTGGAGATGCCCCTGGAGAAGAGGTGACTGACTGGTCAGGGCATTATCACAAGGGGTCCCTGGGAAGAGCCCTGTGTGGAAGGACAGGAAGCTTGAAGGAAGCAGGAGTACCACCCCGTTTAGACCACAATTCTGATGGCAGCCCTTTCCAGCAGACACTCTCAAAAGCCCCTCTCCCTAAACAGTCCTCAGAGCCTCCTCTTCAGCCCTTTGCTCAGCCTGCCCCAGACAGCAGCCTGCCACTGTGCTGAGGCCCCAGAGTGATGCTGCGATCCTGCTCATCTCTGTTTCCCCTGCATCTAGCAGAGTGCCGGGATCCTGCAGAGGCCGAAAAATGAGCTCCAAGATGAAAATTCATGTGCATGTCCTGTTGTGTTCTACGAACTCATTGGAGAGGGAGACTCAGAAGGATCTGGAAATGGGGCTGGCTTGTTCTTCCATGTCCCCTCTATCTTCCCTCCCTCTTGCTCCCAGTTCTGTGTCAGGAGGACACAGCAGCAGCTCTTACACTTAGCACCAAGAGGCGAAGCTTTGCTACATCTACACTTGTGCTAGACTGCTCACCCACCCCATCATTATAATGATTTATAACTGGTCATTTTTGCAAGTATCATTTCATCTAACTCCCACAACTTTATTACTTGTACCCCACACTGCAAATGGAGAAACAAAGACTCGGAAAGGTGATGTGGCTTTCTCTGGCCTCAAAACCAGAGTAGCAAGACTGAGCGTCAAGCCCAGATCTTATACTCCAACAGGGTCTGCCTCTCCCATGGACCTCCTTCTTCCTCCTTCTCCCCTATCACCCCTCCCTCCCAGCTCACACTGCCTCTCCCTCACCCCTGCTGAGCACATCCTGGGTCTGAGTCACAGAAGACAGGTGGGTGTGGGAGCAAGGAGTGGAGACCAGCCAAGTGGTGAAGTACAAACCTGGGTTTGTCTTTTTGTGGCTACCAAGCATGGTGAGAGAGCAGGATCCAGAATATATGGCCTGTTCTGGGTCCCTTCTTAGCTCCTGGGGTGAAGCAAAGAACAGGCTGAGGATCCATCTGAAAACACATGGCTTTAAGACTGGGCACTGTCTCCCAGACTCGACTGAGGCCTGGCACAGTTTGAGCCCCTCCAAAGTCAGGCCAGTAGAACCCAAAACCTTTTAAAGGAAACATTCCTTAGCCACTGTCACATTCAAGGAAGGGCCCACTCTGCATCTGGCCCCCAAGGTCAATCAGGAGACAATGTCCTAGCCTGGAAAGAGCTTCCCACTTTGACATGGGACAAACTCTGACCTGAAGGAAAGGATAGGGAAGAGGAAAGGAGAAAATGCTGGGACGAGATGGTTATCCTCTTGGGCTAGGCTCAGGCCATCTCACCGGACAGCTCCTGATTTGCCAGCCCTATCAGCAGCTCTGGCAGAGACCACAGCCATAGAATGCCAAGGCCAAAGACGACGAGGGAAGAGGAAGTGTATGTGACGCATTAGACGTGTGGTGTGTGTCCCCAAAGGGTTACATACTGGCAGCTTAGTCCCCACTATAATATCACTGCGACTCAGCAGAGCCTCTAAGAGACACTATAATATCATTGAGACACTATAATATCATTGAGACTCAGAGGGCCTCTAAGTGACTAGACCATGACTGCTTTGGGAAGGGAATCGTGCTGCCACATGGGCAGGTCAGTTCCTTCGAGAACAAGTTGTTATGACCAAAGGTGCCTGGCCCCTCCTCAGTCTCTTGCTCTCTTGCCATGCACCTTCTCCTGCTCACATTGTCTGCTCTTCTCTGTCACACACACTCCTACCCTATGATGCTACTCACCCTGCTAAGATGCAGCAGGGTGCCCTTACCAGATGCCAACATCATGCTGTTTGGACTTTCCAGTCACCAGCACAATGATCCAAGATGACCTCCTTGCTTTATACATTACCCAGTGGCAGGTATTTTGTTATAGAAGCACATAAAGGACTAAGACAAGGAGGAAGGAATGAAAGAGGGAAGGAGGGAAAGAGAGGGATAGAGGAAGGAAGGGAGAAAGGAACGGAGGGAGGGAGGGAGGGAGGGAGAGAGGGAGGGAGGGAGGGGGAAAAGTTGTCTTGCAGGTATGAGGAACCACCCAGGTGGGGCTCTAGCCCTGGCTCTGGTTTCCATTCCATGCAGCACTTCTCAAACACAGCCTCCAGATGACCCTCGGTTTTCCCATATGCCAGCTCAGGTTCTACAACCTCTTCAGCCATATTTGCCAGGTAACTTTCAAAGTCTGGCCCCATGACCTCACTGCCAGTCCTCCCTGGGTCCCCTCATACCTTCTTTTCTCTCTGAACCAGTAGCCCTCATCTTGCGCCTGATTATTCCTTGGCTATGCTTCCCTACATCACAAGGCAAGGTCTCAGCTAAATCACTTGTGATCTTTTGACCAGGCTCTTCTCCATGGTAGGTGCGCAAGGAACATTCTGATAGTGTTGAGAAGTTGTTGGATGGAAGATGGATGGGTGGCTTGGAAGGATAAGCCTGCTCTGACTGCTGATCAAGCTGGCCAAAGCTCTCCTCTGTGCCTGGTGCATGGATGCCCACCAGAGGAAGTTCACGTCCCCACTGCTGTGCTTCACCCCCTGCTCAAAGGCCCAGTTGCCAGTCTATCTTATCTGTTGGTTCTCAACCCCACAGGTCGGGTGCTCCAAGGAATTTGACCTAGAAGCTGTCCTTAATTACCCATGTTCCTGGGTAATCATTCTATGAAGAATGAAGTTCTTACAGACAACAGAACTCAGGATGTTGTGAGGGAAAAGGCCCAGATGGATGACTCTTCGTAGAAGGCCCAAGTGCCAGCCCCAATGGGCAGGCCCACCCCTACCCAGCAACACACATGTGCACAGCTGGGTCTTGGGAGAGGCAGCTCACCTTGAGTCTCGTCCAGCTTCCCCATGGTCTCGATCTGCTCCACCAAGTCATTGGAATTCCACTGGCTCATCCCAATGAGGATGGCATTCTTCCCTTCAGCCACCTCCTCTGTTGGAAGGGGAGAGATGGAGTGAGCAGACAAGGTAGGGTAGGGTAGCTTGAACCAGAGCTGATGCCCAAGGGACACTCATTTCATCCATAAGTTGAGACGGACCAGAAGTGCTAGAATTGGAATCCATGTACATGCCAGACAAGTGCTCTACCACCAAGCTATATCCCAAGCCCAACTTCAACCACTGAAAATAGCTGTCATAACTCGAATGAAGCACTCAGGAACCACCATTGTGGAAGGCATTGTTGTGCCTCACCAGGCGCCTGGTGCTAGAGGAGAAGGAAGTAGCCAGGACTGAAAGTTAGCATTTCTTGGGAAGAAAGAACAAAAACCTCATTATCTGCCAGCAGTTTTCCTTCAGGAATATGATTTGACTTCTCTGAATGCCAGTTTCCCCTTCAGCAAAGTGAGATTGGAAGTGTCCAATTCACAGAGTTACCAGGAAGATCAGATGAGATAACGGTGTCAGGGTCTTGGTGCAAAGGAGATGCCCGGGGAAGAGGCCCTTCTTCTTCACAGGAGAAGGAACTTACCATCAGGGACTTGAGGTGGTCATAGCTTGAGGGGTTCAGGGCAGCTCTGGGGTAAGTGCAGGATAGAAGCCTGAGGGTTCCAAGTTGTATGAGTTGTATGGAACCCTTGGCTCCTATATCAACTAAAGGAACCTTTTAATGTCTCCATTCCTTCATCCACTCCCCCCACCAGCCCTGTCTCTATTCTTCAGCTGGTTAGGTTTTTGTTTTTTTTTCAATTTGACACAAACTAGAAGAAGGAACTTCAGTTGAGTAATTACCTCCATCAGGTTGGACTGTAGACATGTCTGTGGGGCCTTTTCTAATTTCTGGTTGATGTAGGAGGGCCCAGCCCACTGTGGGTGGTGCCATCCCTGGGCAAGTGGGCCTGAGCTATATAGGAAAAGTAGCTGAGCAAGCCAGGGGAAATGAGCCATTAAGTAGTGTTCCACGATGGTCTCTGTTTCAGTTCCTGTGTCCAGGCTCCTGTCTTGGGTTTCTGCCTGACTTCCCTCAAAAGTGGACCCTGCCTTGGAAGTGTAAGATGAAATAAACCCTTTCCTCCCCAGTTTCCCTTTGGCCATGATATTTATCACAGCAATAGAAAAGTAACTAGGACAATCCCTTCATGATTATTCTGGGGTGAAGCAGTAAGGTCATATTTCCTCTCCACACTGCACACAAGCCTCTGGGTTTCCAGCCTTCAACAACAAACAAATGGTACACTCCTCATCCTGCGAAGGAACATTTCTGCAAGGACACACCCATAAGAACAGGTGCTCTCCTCCCTGCCTGCCCACCCCAAGATGAGCCTTCCTAATGGAAAGTGTTGTGTCCTCCCTCATGGCATAGACAGCAAAGGTAGCCAGGAGAATTCCCAAGCTTGGGATAATTAAGAATAAAGGGCTTCTGCCTTGCTGGCAGAGTGCTTCACCCAGCAGATGCAACCAATATGGTGGTACCCAAGCTTTGGGAGCTGTCCAGAGTTCTGATTCACACTAGCACACAGTAATCCAGATCTCATCTCTGCCTGGGATGCCTCCTGTCTTTTTGTAGTATTTATTTGATTGATTTAATAGCCCTTATGGAACTCTTGCTAGTAAGATTAGTACAAATGATTTACAAATATTAATGCATAAACCAGGCATGGTGTACATGCCTACAATTCAAGTACTAAGTAGATGGAGGCAGGAGATCAGAAATTCAAGGCCAGCCTCAACTACATAGTGAACTCAAGGCCAGCCCCAGCTACATAAGGCCTTCTGTCAAAACCTAAAAAGAAATTATCTCAATTCTCTTAAAAATACTAACGAATGGGGCTGAAATTGCTCTGTCAGTAAAGAGCCTGCTGGACAAATATGAGAACCTGAGCTCAGATTCCCAGGACCCAAGTAAAAAGCTGGGTATGGCAGCACAGGCCTATAACACCAGCACTGAGGGTTGGGGAGGAGGAGACGGGCAGAATCCCAAAGCTCATTGGCTAGCCAGTCCTGCTGAATCAAGTTTCAGGTTTAGTGAGAAACCTTGTCTCAAAAAGTAAATGTGGCAATCAATTGAGGAAGACACCTAATGCCAACCTCTGGTCTCCATATGCACATACTTATACAGATACCCACAGTAACAAGTACATACACCACACAAACACAGCACACACATACCCCACATATACACTAATACTAACAAGGAACAATTTTTATTTATTTATTTTATTTATTTATTTATTTTATAGACAAGGAAACTGAGACACAGAGTAGTTGAGTAATTGTTGCCCAAGAGCTCTGCCTCGTGCCAGAATTCAAACTCAGATATATGACTAAGCCTGCCATTGTGGCACACATGTAATCCTAGCACTTGGGAGGCTGAGGCAGGAGGATTATGAGGCCAGCCTGGGCAACACAGCAAAAACTTGCCTCCAAAAAAGTAAAGAAAGTTCTGGCATTCTCTCCTCTTGAAACTCTGCCCTGGACATTCTGCATTGACTGCCCCCCATACCCAGACAGCTTCCTCAGCCAGATGTGCTCCCTCTGGGGAGGAGTGTACACCTGTGAGTGGCATCAGATACTGGGCAGAGCTCTGACCAAGTTCCAGTACAAGTTCTGCAACCTGTGAGCTTCGTGTTTTTGTACACAGCCCCCGTCCACCACCGTTTCTGTTTGTTTGCCCCTTAAAGGGCAATAAAACCTCTATCTCTCTAACACTAGCAAGCTGCCACAGGGACAACTAATATAATAAATTTGAAAGAACTACACAAGCTAAAACATGCAGAAATATAAGGCGGTGTTACTCTTAGGAAAGCAGAATCATAAAGAGGTTAAACACTCAGTTCTGGTGGTGTTAGATGGCTGCTTTCAATCCTGGACCCACTGTCTCCCAGTGAAATGACCTGCTTTATAAGCCTTTGTTTCCTTGTCTACAAAATAGTGCCAGGGTCATAGTTTCTTGTAAGTTGGCTATGAAGATGAGTGAGATGAGGCAGGTCATGTGTTCACAAGCGTGCTGAGCACACAGCAGGGGCCCAGAGATATTCCTGTGTCCTGTCATCATGCCAGTGACAGCATGTGGTCCCAGCATGCTTTTATCTCCTATGACACCTGCCCTTGCCCCACAGCAGGGTAGACAGGATCAGTCAGTAACCCATCTCGAGTTCTCTGTCTCTTGGCTCAGTTAGTTACCCAAGCAAGCAATTATTCCTTTGCCCATTCTAATGTCCGTCCTGCAGCAAACAGGCTCCCAAGAAGCTGCTCTGTGCCTTTGAGGTTCGACTGCTGTCCCACAGAAAGCCAGAGGTGTGGATACCACTGCAAAGAACTCTGACATGGGAAGACCAAAGTGTGGCACCAGGTCCAGTGCCACATATGCAGTAGGCGCTCAGCACATGCTAGTTAGTGTTTCCTACAATGTAGGAAGTTCTATCCTAGGGGATTGTATGCAAGACTGTCTGAGCCCTGTGGAGCCTACCAGGGCTCCAGAGCTCTGAGCATGCTGATTTCTGTGTGGTCCTGGGCTCTTCCTCTCTCTAATACTACCTGTGGCTTGACTTCCTTTGCTCTTGGCCTCCTGTCTGGTTTTTCATTAAAACACCTCTCCAGGATTCAACATGATTCCCTCCTGCCCAGTGCCCAGTCCCAGGCCTTCACAAATCAGACTACTCTCTCTCTCTCTCTCT